CAATTTTAATCATTATTTTAAATAATATTTTAATAAAAAAATCAAAATTCCAGTTAAATCTAACTTAATCAACTTCTTTCAAAGTTAACTCATTTGAATAATTATTTCAATCAAAATCAAAGTAACTTGTATATAATAAGCTCCTAAGGGCGTGAATGGATATAAATTAATATTATTTAATTATATTTATAATATTGATGGGAGTCGAGTGGAATTAAGTTTGATTTGAAATTTGGGTTATGAATGACAAAAAAACATTTATCGGTTCAATCAAACTCGGCCCTTAGGAGTTTTGCTGCTGTATCGGTTCAATCAAACTCGATTTTGGGATTGGTTCGGGGTTAGAGTTTTGCTGCTGTATAGGCTTGATTGCAGTTTCGGTAGCTGGTTCTGGGCTTGGATCTTTCTTGTGTCGATCGTCCACTGCTGGTTCGGGCTTGCTCGTTCGATGGGGAAGGGCGTTTAGATTTTTTAGTTTATATGTGTTCTTGTTTTAGTATTCGTATTTGTGTTTCGTGTTTTCGTATTTGTGTTTTGAGTGTTTGTGTTCTTGGTTGGGTCTTTTGGTTTGGAGATGAATACATGCTAGGCATTGTGCAGTGGCTTGTTTTTCATTTTCCTTTATTTTCATTCGTGAAGTTCTCTAGGCCGCCATGTGCGTGTCCTCTCAGTCTTTTATTTCCGGTTTGTTTTTAGGGTGTTTTTGGTTTGGGTCGTTGGCCCCTGTCTCATTACCCTGTTGGAGTCTTAGAATTACCCTGTTGGGGTCTTGTAATTTGTTTCTTTTGCACTTTTGTGCTTTTATATATTACCTCTATCGTTCCGGCAAAAAAAAAAAAAAATCAAACTTGGCCCTAATTAATCAAGCAACGTTTAGAGATTTTTTTTGTAACACCCCGAGTTTTATAAATAAAGGAAAATACTAGCTTTTAATTTTAAGCTAGCCTTTGTTAATAAATAATCATGTTCATGTTCAAGTTCAAGTTATTCAGTAGCTATATTTCAAGTCCGACTATTAGTAGATAAATTATTCGGTTAATTATTTTAGTAACCAGATAAGTTTCCAGACTTAATTCCGATTCGTTTCCTTATTTAAGGAGTTCAGAATTAATAAGTTAAGTTGACGAATTATTCGAAATGTCGATATTCAGATTAATCGTCCAAGTCATGAATATTCGAATTAATTTTCGAAGATCACGTTTATGTTCGGATTAGCTTTGGTTAATCAGATAAGTCATGTATTATCAAATATATTAAGCATGTTAATTATGCTTAATTAATTCCATAATCATGCTTAAGTCATGAAAATGTCCAAATTATACTCCAATTTCCTCAAAATTGTCGTGAGCAATTGGTGGGAAAACTCATGTATTAGTCATCATTTATCAAGCTTGAGGTGTCCTAATATTAAGCACCCAAACTCTTGACTAAGTAGTGTGGTTGATGACTAAGCCCAAGTTAAGCCTAAGCTTGGCAAATGGAGTAATTTCATTGGCCAAATCATTTCCTCACTCCTTCATTTCAGTCATGTTTATAAGTCAAAGTGTTTGGGAAATTTTCCAAAACCTTTAAGTGAGTTCAGCATATATTAAGAAGAGGAAGAGTTCATAGAGAGTAGTTGGTCATTCTTATTCACGCACAAGCTAGTTTACTGCATGGTGCATGCAAGCGAAAGGCTCACGAGCACACCGCACCGAACGATCACGAGCGTCTTGAGCGACCAGCCGAGAGTTCAAGGAGGTATCATCATCCTCTTGATAAATTCATGTTAATATGACTAGTTTAGGGATTCATGTTCAGTTCATGTCAATTGAAGCCAAGCTAAG